AAGCTGTTTGGTACTCACTGGCCACTGAAGCTACCAGTCTATTGGCATTAGCAACCATCCCCCCTTCCTCCCTCTCTCCCTTCCTCCCTCTCTCCCTTCCTCCCTCTCTCCTTTCCTCCCTCTCTCCTTTCCTCCCTCTCTCCCGTTCTCCTTCTCTCCCTCCCTCTGTCCTCACCCCCTCCCTTCCATCCCATTACAATGGAGAAAGACTTTTCTCTTGTGTGTGAACCGGCAGTTCTTTTTTTTTTTTTTTTCCTTTTTTAAAAAAATTTATTTTACAATACCATTCAGTTCTACATAATAGCCACAGATTCCCTTGTTCTCTCCCTTCCTGCCCCCCTCCCCTTCCCCCCAGCCCACCCCCCATTCCCACCTCCTCCAGATCAAGGTCTCTCCCGAGGACTGGGATCTACCTGATAGACTCAGTCCAGGCAGGTCCAGTCCCCTCCTCCCAGACTGAGCCAAGCGTCTCTGCATAAGTCCCAGGTTTCAAACAGCTAACTCATGCACCGAGCCCAGGACCTGGTACCACTGCCTAGATGCCTCCCAAACAGATCAAGCCAATCGACTGTCTCACCTATTCAGAGGGCCTGATCCAGTTGGGGGCCCCTCAGCCTTTGGTTCATAGTTCATGTGTTTCCACTCATTTGGTTATTTGTCCCTGTGCTTTATCCAACCTTGGTTTCAACAATTCTTGCTCATATAAACCCTCCTCTTTCTCATTAATTAGACTCCCAGCGCTCCACCCGGGGCCTAGCCGTGGATGTCTGCATCCAGATTCCTCAGTCCTTGGATGGGTTTATGGCACAACTATTAGGGTGTTTGGCCATCTCATCACCAGAGTAGGTCAGTCCCGGCTGTCTCTCGACCATTGCCAGCAGTCTTTTGTGGGGGTATCTTTGTGAATTTCTGTGGGCCTCTTTAGCTCTTTGTTTCTTCCTTTTCTCATGTGGTCTTCATTTACCATGGTCTCCTATTCCTTGTTCTCCCTCTCTTTTCTTGATCCAGCTAGGATCTCCCGCTCTCTTTCCCTCACCCCTCGTCCTTCATTGCTCACACTCATGTCCAGGTTGTTCATGTAGATCTCAGCCATTTCTCCGTCATTGGGCGATCCTCGTGTCTTTCTTGGGGTCCTGTTTTCCAGGTAGCCTCACTGGTGATGTGAGTAGCAGTCCAGTCATCCTTGTTCCACATCTAGCATCTTCCTACGAGTGAGTACATACCATATTTGTCTTTCTGAGTCTGGGTTACCTCACTCAGGATGATTTTTTTCTAGATCCATCCATTTGCCTGCAAACCTCATGATGTCTTTGTTTTTCTCTGCTGAGTAGTATTCCATTATGTATATGTGCCACAATTTATTTATCCATTCTTCAGTTGAAGGGCATCTAGGTTGTTCCTCCCAGGTTTTGGCTATTACAAACAATGCTGATATGAACATAGCTGAGCAAGTGCTCTTGTGGGATGATTGAGCATTTCTTGGGTATATGCCCAGGAGTGGTATAGCTGGATCTTGGGGGAGATTGATTCCCAATTTTCTAAGAAAGCGGAACCGGCAGTTCTTACTAGGTGCTCTGGTTACAACCCCCGTCACATCTCAAAGGCTGCGTCTGTCTCGGGTCTGTCCGTTACTCTGACCCCACTATGACCACATACTTGTTGGAAAGCAAGGAAGGAACGAAAGTTTTGCTTTGGCTTATGGTTTCAGGGGCACAGGGAGAGGAAGGGGAGTGTGTGTGTGTGGGGAGGGGGGGGGTGGCTGACCATGTCACAGGCAAGAGTGGGGGAGGCCGATGTTCAGCTGACTTTCTCCTTTTCCCTTCTCATCCTGTCCAGTGCTGTATCCTCTGTCCCAGACCATCCTCACTGCATTTTGGGCGAACCTTCTCTCTTCAATTAAACACCCTTAAAGACCGTCAAAAACTGTATCTCCTTGGTGATTCTAAAGTCAGTCAAGTTGGAAATGCATAGTAACCATCGCCCTGGGGATCGTTGCCTTTTCTCACTCTCCAGAGTCATTCTCATTGGGCAAACATGATCCCGTATGGCCCAACCTACAAAGTGCTCTCCTTTAACCACACGCAGCCCATCTACGGTCTACACTGGCAGGTGGGAAAAGGGTTGTTTTAATCTTCAACCTCGTGTTTATTCCTCAGCCTTCTCCCTTCTGGCTGCTCCTTCCACACACCACTCGACTGTTCTTTTCAAGGTCGCTGCCAGCTTTCTGGTGGCCCAGATGGTTCTCATCTTGATGTCTCAGCAGAATTTGACACCACAGATTACATTTCTGTTCTTGCAACATGAAGCTCTTCGTGGAGTCTGTGACCTTTTGGTCTCTGGTTTTCTTCCTACCCACCATCCTCCCGTTCACATTTCCTTTGCTAGATTACCCATATCTAAATGCAGGGCTTCTTTCGGGGTGGGGGATCACACATCTCTTCCTCCTCCTCCCTATATTCTTCTGCTCCATGTTCTCACTATCATGGCTTTAAAATGCCATATGTGTTCTGGCCACTGTAACTTTCCTTCTCGAGCTCGGCCCTGTTTCCTGAAGTCCACATATTTCCTTCCCACCTCCTCCCCAAATGTCCCACTGACATCTAAAAGCTCATCTTAGAGAACCTTTTACTCCCATCTCTCCACTTGAAACTGCCTTTGCCTCTTCGGCTCCATCTCCAGAAATGTCACTTCTAGCCATCTAATTACCTACATTAACATTCTAGCATTGTTCCTCATTCTTTCTTTTCTCCAGCCCCAACCTATCCAGTGCAACAGCAAACTGTCAATTCTGTCTTCTAAACAGATTCTGCCCTCACTCGTCTCCTACTGCCTCCCCCAACCCTCCCCCTCCTCACTGCCCAACAGAAGAGCTGAAGTGCCCTTCAAAGGGGCTTCCTTTGGCCACGTTTACCCCACGTACCCTCCAAACAGAAATTCCAGCAGCATTTAAAAACCCATGTTATATGTTAAGTCTCAAACCCTGGGACAAATGGCTGAGGTGCCTATGTAACAAATCAAAGAAGACCTGGCCTCCAGGTTCTCCCAGGATCCCTGGGCCCCTACCTGTTACAGGGTGTGGTTGGTGTACTCCACCCTCCACCCCCAACTCTTCAGCCCAGGGGCTGGGCTGCCATTCTCCCAGAGGCTCTTCCCTATATTATCTGGCCATGTGGGTTACCTTTTTGTAACTTTGGGCCTCCAGGCTGCTGCACCTGGCTCCCCTTTCCCCTCTCCCTTCCCCTCCCCCCTCTCTCACTGGGCTCAGGGTCATGTTCACTCTGGACACTCCCAGATGTCCCTGCCTCTGCCTACGCTCTTCCTTTTATCTACAATAAACGGCTCCTCCACCATACCTAGAAGCAGTCATGTCCTTTCCTTTTCAGTTCTTTTTTTTCCCCTGTTCATTGTGTCATGTCACCTATTGGCGTGACACCCTTCAGTGAGGAGTGCCGACATCTCGTTACTTCCCCTAGCTAACACAACGTTCTGTGAGCTGCACATATTCCTTTCCCTTATGCCAGATTACACCATTGCCTTTCTGTTCTAGGAATCTATCTGCATGTAAGTATACCACAGGGGGTTAGGATCCTGTACATGCACAGTGTCTTACATCATCAGCAGGTGCTAGCGACTACATACCCGCAGTGTGGTCACGCAATCCCCGCCTTAAAAAGCTGGACACAGACCCCCCACCCTCTCTCTATCTCTCTGTATTTTCTCTCTGCTCTCTCTCTGTTCCCGCTCTGCTCCCTCCCCCCAGGCCTGGCTTTCTCTCCCCCCTTTCCCTCCTAATAAAGCTCTAAAAACTAACATTGGCTTCTGCCATGGCCCGTGACTTTTCCGCTGGTAACCAGCGCCACCAACCAGCGCTGTTTAACTATCACGGGGGCTAAGTGTGAGGCTCATGCCTACAACCCAAGCATTAAGGAAGCAGAGATGGGAGGATCTTGAGTTTGGAGGCTGTCTGGGATACTGTGGTAAATTCCAGGACAACTTGGAGCCATGTAGAGAGAAACACCATGTTAAACAAAAGCAAACATACACACACACACACACACACACACACACACACACACACACACACACAAACCTCCATGGATTTCTCCATTATGCCGTGCGGCCATCTGCTCCAAATGATCTCACACAGTGTCCTCACACTTGGTTTCTCAGTTTTCTAATGAGACTGTATTCTTTCCTTTTCTTGCCACTATGCCTAAATACCCACCAAGAAGCAGCTTGAGGGCATAGTCTGTCACAGTGGGAGGTATGGCAGTCGCCAGGTGAACAGGCTGGGTTCAGGGCATTAGGAACCAGGAAGCAGAGGCAAAGGAATGCAGCAGCCTTCTGGATCTCTTCTCCCCGCCTTTATTCAGCCCAGGCTCATAGCCTACAGGCTAGTGCCAGCCACATTCAGGGTGGGTCTTCCCTTCTCAGTTAAGCAATGCTCCCGCCATGTCCAAAGATGTCTCCTACTGAAGCTGAATCTAGTCAAGCTGAAGGTGAAGATTAACCACCCCCTCCTCCTTGTCGATTTCTTCTTTAGCTTTCTAAAGAACACACACTTCCCACCCCCCCATGATCTACCTTAGTTCTTCACATTATTGCTTCATTATGTTTAGCATAATGGAGAGGTTTTTTTTTTTTTTTTTTTTTTTAACTTTTGGTGTTGTTGAACTTACTTTCTGTAATACTTCCTAGCATTAAGATTCTGTGAGGCCAGGAGCCATGTCATCTGTGTTTCTTATCATGTCCCTATGCCTGGCACAGGGCTTGACTTCCAGGAACATTTGTAGAATGGATTGATGAATAAATAATAAATGTTAATGAAGGTGCACACTGCATCCAGACAATTCAATGCATATAGTGGCTCTCAGCTCGTTCTCAGATCTGTGCCTCTTCCTTTGTGGAATGCAAGGTGACCCAGAAAGTATTTTACTGTGTCGTAACTGTGTGATAAGAGTGCTCTTAAAGTAACCAGTCAACGTTCTGTTCATTTTCAGGATGTGTCTTGCTTTCTCCGAATCCAAAAGTCACCGTAAAGCAGACAACATGGCTTATTTGAGAACCAAAGGCTATGAAGAGAGGCATTCTGGGATACCCTGATACTCTTGGGTGTGTGGCAGTAAGCAAAAGGAAGCCTTCCCTGATCCTTGACTTCTCTCATGTGTAACACGCAGAGCAGTGTCGGCTGAATTTGCTTCAGAGGGCTTGAGTTAGACCTTGTCCTGGTAGAGGAGAGACTCATTCAGGCTCATGGCTTCAGAGGTTTTATTCTATGGCCCTGGGCTAGGGACATGAGAAACCCTTCCCAATAACTCGTTTCCTTTACCTAGGCCCCACCTTCTACAGCTACACCACCACTCTTCAATAGTCTCTTCCAAATCTGCAACCATCAGCTAAGACATTGAGGTCAGAGCCTTCAAGATCCAATCCCTGGGAAAGCCTTTGCAGATGCATCCAAAGGTGAGCTTTACTAATATCCTAAGTGTCTTCCCATCCAATCAAGTTAACAATCAACATTAACTAGTGCAGGGCTGTGGTGGCAACTGAGTGAGGTGAGTGAGGAACATGTTTGCAATTGTCAAGTGTTGACCAAATGGTTTCCAGAAGTTTTGCTGAACTCTTCTTGCCAGGAAATGGTAGTTTAATTCTCTCCTGGAATTGACTTAAAGCCTGTCTTTCTATGGTCCTTGGCTACTTCCAGGCCTGGATTTCCTACCTGTACCCTCAAGATGTTCCTTACTCCTCCCCTGTTGTGGCCATGAGATGGTTTGCTCCCTAAGACACGGTTCTGTCTGAGGGACGGATCAAGTGTGGGGTTCAGCAGCCATTGGGCGAGAAGCATGGTCTTATCCACCAGATGTTTCCTCATTGGGTGGAAAAGCTCAGGGTTTTTCATAGTGGGCCACACCTCTGTTCAGCATGCACTTACCATTTTCAGTCCTCACTGGAGAGGATCTGGGGCTTCAAAAACACAGGTCCTGCTTTCACTAGCCTGGGCCATTCACTAGCTAGTCGGAAGCTTGATTGTCTTGGCTCAGCTCCTAGAAGAGAGTTTCTTGGTTCTTCTTGAACACTTGCCTGCGGCCTGATGTTCATGGATGAGTGGATTATGGTGCCTGACACAGATGTTCCCCTACACTCCAGCCCAGAAGTTTTCGGACCCCAAGTTATAATGTAGTGACTTCAGCAGTAGGAGCCTCCACGATGTGGTCATCCCCAGCTTGACCGTGGCTCAGAGCTTAGTTTGTTTCACACCCTTACCCCTCTGCCTCACCCATTCCTGTCCCCTTGCCTATCATTTGCTCTCAAACCACCAATTGGCAAGGAGTTAGAGGGTGTTAATAAGTCTCTGTACACATGGCATCTTCTCACTGGAACGTACAAACTAAACAGCAGTTGCCACCTAGCAGGGGGTGTCAAGAAGGTCCCTCCTTCCAGGTGGGAGGAGCATTCTGTTCTGTGCACCCAGTGCTATTCTGCAACTGTGGCCTCTGCAGCTGGAAAGCCATTTCTCCACAGTGATCATGGGGTCAAGTTCACGTCCCATAACCCAGCATTAAACAAGGTCCTTTATAACATGTCTCTTAGCATCCTAGGCATCTTGCCTTCCACACTGTAAGTCCTTATTGATTGTTCTTTCCTGCCTCAGTCTCTTTACTTTACAAGAAGTCCTTGGGATGCCTGTCTTCATTCATTTGGTCCAGGCTGTTCTCCCTTGCTCTGTAGCCCAGACAATTGCCACCTACAAAGAACACCATAGCATCTTCTTTACTGTTTTCCTTCATTATCCTAGTGTGTGTGTGTGTGTGTGTGTGTGTGTGTGTGTGTGTGTGTGCGTGCGCACGCGCGTGCGCGCACTTTTCCTCACCTCAACTAGACTTTAGGACCCTTGAAAGGGGGATAGGATCTTTGCATAGATGCTTAAGAAGTGTCTGGGGACCAAGACAAACTTGAGCTCAAGTTTTACAGTTATCAAGGACAGGTGACAGCAGCTTGATCAAGCTGCTTCTCTCTTCTGTGCTTCCATCTCCCCACTTGTAAAGTGGAGCTTGCAATGATCTTACCCCTTAAAGTGAGGCATAAAAGGAAAATATACAGAGTGTGATTAGCAGGATGCCTAGCTTATAATGGATGCCTGAATGTGGATAAGAGTGGTAGTTAGTTATAGTAAAGTCCTCCTTGTTCCACACCATACACCCTAGAGCCAAGGGCACAGTAGGTATTCATTATCTGGCAATTTATATAGATTCACACTAAGAGTCATGTGGGAAGAGTCTGAATGCATAGTATAGTTACAGCCAGTGCTCAGATCTCCTGAAGCTAGCTGGGTGTTCTCTCCTTTCCTTATGGTATTGGGTAGCTCAAGGAAGACCTTTTGGAAGGAGGGAGGAAAGAGGAGGGGGGAGGGAGGAGGGCTTTCTTTACAGTCACCAAGCAAAGTACATTGAAATAAAATTAATAAAAAATATGTCTTTAGCACCCGTTTGCTCTTCTAAGGTTGTTGAACCCTTTGACATTGAATTTGGTGTGGGCATCTGCATCAGCCGGGTCACATTCATGGCTATCCACATGGGGTGCATGTGGCTGAAGTTGCAGCTTGGCTACCTCTGGATGACAATAAAAATGATGAAAGATCACAGGAAGATAGATATTTAAAAAATGCAATAGAAGGGAAGCTATTTGAACAATTAGAGCCACCTAAAGGGTATGTAGCACAGGTTATCCCATAATGTCACTTGATCTCTTACTGTGAAAGAACTCAAATCTAGCCAAATGGTTACTTGCTGGGGAAATTATAAACTAGGTAGGAGATTGTGTCAGATGCCATCAGAGGTTCCTTCTGACACCTCTGTCAGGCTGGTATCAGATAAGCAACATGGAGAGAGACACCGCCCTCTGTCAGAACCTGCCATGACCTTCTACCCAACCCTGCCAGCCACGGAGGCCTTCTCATAGGCAGAGGTCTAGCTGTAAGAGTCTGGGAAACGGGACAATGCCTTACAATTTTTAAAGAATGTTCAGAGCAATGGAATATGTAAGTTATTCCTGGCTTGGGCCAGAAGTTCTAGCACATGTTCAAGGCCTCTGCTGTTTTAGTTGCCACGTCCAGAAAGGACAGTGTTATTCCAGAAGAATTAGTTATACCTATATTACAGCTCCTACCTTCCATGTTTTTGGGTGATGGACTCCGCCCCCTCCTTCTGGCAAAGTTTCATATAGCCCAGGCTGGCCTCAAATTCCCTATGTAGCTGAGGATGACCTTGAGACTCTGACTTTCCTGCCTCCACCTCCACCTTCCAAGTGCTGGGATTACAGGTGTGTCACATCCCATTTGTGTGGTGCTGGGTATTGAACCCAGGGCTTCAGGCATGCTAGGCAAGCACTCTACCTGCTGAGCCATATTCCCAGTCTCCTTGTCCTTTCTTCCTCTCCATGGACATACTTGGCTTTGTGGGTGGTCTTAGACTAAGGCCACTGCCACAGAAGTATCTTTAGTATAGAGCACCAAGAATGGAACTGTAGGGAAGGTTGTCCACAAAGGGAGCCAGAGGGGTGGGCAGCTGCTTACAGGGAACAGTATGACAAATGAAGAAATTCTGAGTGAGATCAGCGATGGAGGAGACACAGATACTTGACCTGGGTTGGAATTATTGCAGACAGATCAGACTCTTGAAAATTGAGACCATAATTCAGATGGTTCCTATTGTCACCAGCTCCCCATTTCCATTAAGCCCCGCTCTCTGTCTCCCCTGGGCCAGACTCTGTCCAGCAGCTAACTGAAAGGGTCGAGATAGCACTAAATTAATAAGTTCAGCCCCAACCTAGAGGCTGTAGTCAGCATTAAATGGCCTCTTGTCTCCTCCTCAGCCTCAGGTGCTGCCTTCACAGAGCGGTGCTCACTGACAGGGCATCACAGCATGGGTCACAAGACTGGGGACCACAAGAAATGGGTTTCAGCCACCAACGCTGTGCCTCATTAGTTTTGTGACTTTGGTCAAACTACGGAAACACTGAAACCTTAGCATCCTCATGTGTAAAATGAGAGTGAGAGCACACGCCTGCACTGTGTACTTCAAAAACACAAGATTGGGCCGATGGTGATGGTGGGAGATGGCTGGAAGTTTGTATAATAATATGTTACGTGGGTGTGAATGCATGGGCCTCTTCCGGGGCCTCAGAGGGTTCTGTGCCCACTGAGAACCCAAGAGAGAGCTAGCATCTGTCCTTATTTTCCTTGTCTCAGGTTAGAACTCTGTTCTATCCCTGTGTGTCATCCCCCTCAAATGACATGCTGAGAGAGAGAGAGAGAGAGAGAGAGAGAGAGAGAGAGAGAGAGAGAGAGAGAGAGAGAATCAGGTACCGTCAGAGATGTAGCACATGCTTGGAGGCCACCTTCCCCTCTTCTCCCTACTCCCTGCATCAACCTGAATGGAAAGGGGAACGGACCATTAGTGAGCAACCGTGTGCCAAAGCCTTCTCTCGTCATTCCCCATGTAGTCATAAACTACTTATCCTAATGAGGGAGCCAAAAAAACAGGTGCCTGTCATTTTCATTTTACAGAGACAGGAAGGGGGTACAAGGAGACTAGGCAATGAAGAGTCTGGAACCTCAGCTCCTCAACTCAGGAGGCTGAGGCAGGGGGGCTCATGAGCTCAAAGTCAGTCTGGGATACAGAATAAGTATTGGGCAACTTAGTAAGCCCCTGCCTTAGAATAAGAAGAGGCTGAGGATGTAGCTCACTGTGACAGTGCTTGCCTAGCGTGTGCAAGGCTCTAGAAATAATCCCTAGTACCAAACACACAAAATACTATGAGCAAAAGAAAGAAGAGAGAAAGGAAAGGAGGGGAGAGAGAGAGAGAGAGAGAGAGAGAGAGAGAGAGAGAGAGAGAGAGAGAGGATAAGCACTTTGCCTGTGGTCACCAAGGCCTTCTAGTCGATGGGTAGGGGCCTAGATTTTGTAGACTCCATCTGTCCTAAGAGCTTCCAACCCACTGGCTATCTTTGAACATTTACCTGCTGTGCTGTACTGGAGCAGAGCCCTGACAGGGCTAAGGGCTCATCCTTCCAGAAGTGGGTGGGGTCAGAGGGGAGGCAGGGAAGACCTTAAGGATTTCCACTTGCTTCAGAGAAGCCCAGCAGGAGGAGAGCTTTGGATTAGCTGTACTTTAAAGCTAGGGTCTCAGCCCTGGGATAAGTCCCATGCTGGTCTCTGCGGCCCAGGTGGCGGGATATGTCCTCATTGTCCTCTAGAGGGTCTCATTCCATGGCTGGTGCTCCTCCCCCCAGGCCATGAATATCATTTCGGTTCAATATTTTGAGTATCTTTTTCTAAATTAAACTTAATGGGAGAGCAGCCAAGAGGGAGCTATTGCCTTAAATTGAAATAGAAATTAGCCAGAAGGGGAAAAATTGTCCCAAGAGGTCACAGGAGGCTATTGGAATCTACTCCCACATGGAGCCATTAGCAGGATGACTGAGTCTGTCTGCTGCCTGCGAGAACAGCCAGATGTCAAGGGGAAATGGAGTCAGGTGTCACAGAGGGCGCAGCCCCCAACTACTAGGTAAGCTTTTGAGCGCTGGCTTAGTTTTCCACGTTTCATTTCTCTTCAGATATGCATTCTGGTCAGGTGCCAAGATACCACAAAAACGTCCCCTGGGGGAGGGCAGTTGCCCCCAATGTGCTTGGCTGAGGAGGCTCTTCAATTCTTCTCGCAGAGGGGAAGAATAAAACATCCGGGATGCAGTGTCTTTTGAAAGGTTTTGCTGCGTTCTTTTAGCTGGGGCTGACTTGGGGCTGATGTAACTAACACCCATCTAACCAGCGCTTTGAAACAGGAATTAACCACAGGAGGAAATCGTCCCAAGAGGTCACAGGAGGCTATTGGAATCCTACTCCAACATGGAGCCACGTGGGGGATGACTAAGTCTGTCTGCCGGCTGCCAGGACAGGGAAGTGAAACCACCCCCTCTGTCAACATTCAGAAAGGACACTGGGTTATCAGCTGTCACAGGTCATTGGGGACAGATACTTCAGGGACAGATAATCCGCTGATGGTGGCATGACACTGGGACTCTAGAGGCACAGTCTGATGTGCGGATTATACCACTTCTGATGGCTTTTTAGGTCACCATCTTTCTCTCCTCTTCTCTTTGGGTGTTTGTGGGGTTCTGGTCCCAGCCCGCCTGCACTTCTGAACATCCGCCCCATTCTTTCCCTCCCAGATTTCCCTCATGTGCTGACCAAGTAGACCTACTTTTCCTGTATCCAAAAGTTTGCCACATGGCTGTCCAGGCTTGGGATGGGGCAAGGGTGGCTTCATCCTTCTGTTTGCTCAGATGTGACATCTGTTAGGGCAACTTTTCAGTTCCTGGCCTGGTCTCTCACCATCTATGGCTGTTGCTGGCTGGAAGCAGGCTCTGGTGTATTTGTGTGCACCTGGTTGGTCTGTAGGTCCCCAGGGTTCCCAAGGATGCTGCCAAGGTGGCTGTGGAAAAGAGGAGAGGGAGGAAGTAGGGGAGGAGAAGGAAGGAGAGGGAGAGGGGAGGGGAAGGGGAGGAGGAGAGGAGAACCTATCACCCATAGTAGTCATCATCAATCTTCACTCTCAGCTTCCTGGATTAAGGCATACCTAGTGCATTAGTGAGGTATGCTTCTGCGTGTCCGTGAAAGTTTTCTCAAAAGGAATTAACTAAGGAAAGAAGACCAACCCCAACCCCGAATGAAGGTGGCACCACCCACCTTGGGCAGGTCCTGGAGTCACCTAGCTCTGCTCTCTCTCTTTCCTGACTATGATCATCATGTGACTAGCTGCCTCATTCCTCAGCCTCCACCTCCCTGTCTCAAGTTTTGAGGAATTTGTCTCCTCTAAAATTGAGACAATGTAAACCCTCCCTGATTTTGCCTTGGTTGGGTATTCTGTCCCAGCAATGAGAGAAGGAATCAGTCTTTGCCCTCTGCTATGTTGGCTTGGGGGAGGAAGGTTCTTCATTCCACAGGACTCTCCAGCTCATCATCCTTTAATGAGGGTAGGTCCTACAAGGTACCGCTGGCATCTTGAGCTCACCGCATCTCCTCGGACTGATCAAGCCCTCTCTGTAGCTAGAAAGGACTGCCTCTGCATGCCTTCCTACAGGCCGCTCTCCCTTCTGAGTGACTTTTACTGTGTGACCCTTAGAAGGAGCTGGTTATTTGTCCCATGAGTAGGTTTTAATAGAGAGAGGCTTGGAGCCATTGGTGGCTTCATTGGTGGCTTACAGCGTGAAGACGTGGCCCAGGGCAAGCTTGCAAAGGAGTGACACTTGCATAGGGCACTGGCCACAGCTTTCCTCAGAACAGAGGTGCATCCAATAGCACTGCTCACAGGGCGTTCGTTGGGTGTCAGTCATCTGTGTTCAAAATTCTTTGCTAAGTGCCTTGCCCTCCTGTGTTTGGGTTCTGATCTAGAACCTGGTGGCTGTGGGCCTGGGATAAGCCCCTGAGTCTCTGTGAACCCGGCTCCTCCATCTTGCAGTGAGAAGACGCAGCCCATGGAGAAACTCAGGTGGTTACAGTCTCATGGCTAGCTTTCAAGGTTCCTACCGGAGCCATTAGCATACGTTCAGAGTTAAGAAATGGTGGCCGTTTTCTAGGATCTATGCTGCATTGTGGCTGCTGTTCAATGAGTGTTATTCTAATAGAGAAAATCTTAAAGTGCTCGGCAAATTGGAAGGGCAAAAACTGAAGTTTCTGTTATTGAATCTGTAACTCATATTCTCAGTGATAATAGACTTCTCCCTTCCCTGTCAGCCTAGAGTGACCCACAACCCCTAGCCGACCAACTTATTTATCTTTTGAGTCTGGCTCTATACTGTCAGATGACCAAGGAGAAAAATTCCAGCCCTGTCGCTGGGCAGTCCTATGATTTGAATAGGCTGTGCTGCTGGTGGAGGTGGAGGCCATCCCCGAAGGCCACTTACTACCAAAGGTCAGAGGTAGCTCTCAACACTGCATGTTTGCATCTTTGTGAGAGGAACCAAGTGTGATGCTGCACCTGCATTGTGAATTTGATGGGATTTGGAATCACCATGGAAACAAATCTCTGTGCATGTCTATAGGATTATCTAGATTGCGCTAATTGATGTGGTAAATGCGGGTGTCGTCATTCCCTGGGCTGCAACATTAATTGAATATGAAAGGAAAAAGTGAACTGAGCACAGACATTCATTTCTTTCTGCTACGTGACTGTGGACACACTGTGACCAGTCACTTCCTACTTCAGGAGCCACACATTCCCCCCTCGGTGGACTGTACCCCATTTTTACTGTCAGCCAAAAATAAGCCCTTCCCCCACCCCTTAAGTTGCTGTTGTCAGGGCAACAACACCAGTAACTAATAAATTAAGCTAAAGGAGATTCTCTTCCTGTCTCCCGAGAGGCCATCTGTCTGCTCTGAGAAATGCTGCCTTCTCAGAACCATGTTTCTCCCCTGCCCCCTTGACGCTTTTGTGTACTAGCCCTGCCCCGATTCAGATAGCACACTAGACTGCCATCTTCTCTCATCCCATTGAGTTTGGTAGCTGGCAGGTCTCTGCAGATCCCACTGGAAGGCATGTGGCATAGAGAGGCTTAGGATTCAGTACCGGAGAATTCAGTTCTGTCACTCACTAACAGCAATTGTGGGAGAAATAATTTAACTTAACTGTGTCTCTGTTTTCTCCCTTTGGTCAAATGGGGATAATTGTCAAATTAGATGAATAGCCATAGAAGTGCATTGTAAATGATGAGTGCTGTAGAAAACTCCTTACACATCTTCTTTCCTGGCCCAGGTACCCAATGAAAGGGAAAAAAGGGAAAAATCCAATAAATACCAAGTGCTTTTCTTTGTATTATTTGTTTAGTAAACTTTTTGTCTTTGGTATGGAGTTAAGGGGGGGCCTTGGATTGGTTTAATGTTATTGCTGACATCACAAACTGATGATTAGAACATTTGACCAAAATCTGTCTGATTCCAGGAAGTGTTTTTTTTTTTTCTGCTTACAGCAGCCTGAAGAGCAGTCCCTCAAATATGCCTGCAATTCCTGAGACCTGTGAAAGTTACCTCATCTGGCAAAGAAAGACTTCATGGATGTAATAAAGTTATGCATCTCTGAATGAAGAGGACAGTTACTCTAGATTATTCGATGGAACACATGGAATCACAAAGGTCCTTCAGAGCAGAGAGAGGATGCATGGACAGTAGCAGAGATTTGAATAGGCTGAGCTGCTGGCATTGAAAGTGGTGGAAGCAACCATAGGCCATGGGTATAAGAAAGGCAGCCCTGGGAGCCTGAAAAGAAAGTCAATGGATTGATTCTCCTCTGGAGCCCTGACTCTGCTGATGCCCTGACTTCGGGCCAGTGAGCCTGATTTTCAACTTCTAGCTTCCAGAAGTGTAAGAGAATAAATCTGTTGTTTTATGCCACCAAGGTTCTCATAATTTTTTGTAGCAACCATAGGAAAATAATACACCATTCCATCATCCCTGTATTCTTAGTTCACCATTTTATATTCTCTTTGGTCCCTTAAAGCACCAAATTTTAGCCTTTCTGAGACTCTCTCAGGCCCTGGTCAGTCCTTCCCAGTCAAAACCATTGACTAACAGCTGCTCAACACATGCCTATGAGGGGGAGAATCTTGTGTGAGATGCCTTGAAAGATGACAGGAAAGAGTCTCTATGGAGCTTATGCGTTGTCTGTAGTGTGACCCAAACCTCAGCGGCTTCAAACATAAATATTTTGTTACTTTACATAGTTGACAGAATCAGGAATCCAAGGGCTACTTGACAAATGGCTTTAGTTCAGACTCACGAGACTGCCTTCAAGATACCAGCTGGGAGTGCTCTTCGCTGGGAGCTTGGCCGAGTTGAAAGATCTCTCTCTCTCTCTCTCTCTCTCTCTCTCTCTCTCTCTCTCTCTCTCTCTCTCTCT